AGAAATAGCGGAGCTCTGCAGATACACTTAGCGGAGCTCTGCAGATACACTTTTTGCCGGCTTGGAATTCTTCTTATTTTCATCCTTCTTCTTCTTCTTCTTCCTCATCCTCACCTCTTCTTCTTCTTCTCTTCTGAGGATGAATGAAGAAGAAGAAGAAGAAGTAGGATGAAAATAAGAAGAATTCCAAGCCGGCAAAAAGTGTATCTGCAGAGCTCCTCTATTCTATCTGCAGAATAGAGGACTCTGCAATACACTTTTTGCCGGCTTGGAATTCTTGAGGAGAAGAAGAAAGAAGAAGTAGGATGAAAATAAGAAGAATTCCAAGCCGGCAAAAAGTGTATCTGCAGAGCTCCGCTAATGTATCTGCAGAGCTCCGCTAAGTGTATCTGCAGAGCTCCGCTAAGTGTATCTGCAGAGCTCCGCTAAGAAATAGCGGAGCTCTGCAGATACACTTTTTGCCGGCTTGGAATTCTCCTTCTTCTCATCCTTCTTCTTCTTCTCATCCTTCTTCTTCTTCTTCTCCTTCTTCTCTTCTCCTTCTCTCTTCTTCTCATCTTCTTCATTCTTTCTTCTTCTCTTCTCTTCTTCCTTCTCTCTCATCCTTCTCCTTCTCTCATCCTTCTTCTCATCCTTCTCCTTCTCTTCTTCTCATCCTTCCTTCTCCTTCTCCTTCTTCTCTCATCCTTCTCATCCTTCTTCTTCTTCTCATCCTTCTCCTTCATCCTTCTCCTTCTTCTTCATCCTTCTCCTTCTTCTCATCCTTCTCCTTCTCCTTCTTCTCATTCTCCTTCTCCTTCTCCTCATCCTTCTCCTTCTCATTCTCATCCTTCTCCTTCTTCCTTCTTCTTCCTTCTCCTCTCCTTCTCCTTCTTCTCTCCTTCTCCTTCTTCTCATCCTTCTCCTTCTCCTTCTTCTCATCCTTCTCCTTCTTCTCCTTCTCCTTCTTCTCTTCTCCTTCTCCTTCTCCTTCCTCATCTCCAAGGGCATTTAAATTAAAGGTACAGTGTTCTGCACTAATTTAAAGGCTCTCTGAAGCCTAGAAACCCTTTTTATAAGTTAAATTCGTAGCGAATAAATTCGCATCGAATCGAATTTCTTCCTCAAATTCGGCGAATCAGCCGAATCGAATTTTTGAATAATTCGCTCATCTCTAGCACTAACATACAATTTTGAGGAAAAGCCCCCCCAGTCTTTGCTTTTTGCTTTGCTGTTCTTATCTCTAGGCTAACCTTAGGCTTGTGTTTCTTTTTGCTTTTTTTTTTTCTCAATCCCCACATATCTTCTAACATTCTGCTAAAACTTTGTAACAGTACTGCTTGGACCTTGAAGAAGGGGACATACCCCAAAAGCTTGTCCTCAAAATTGTATGTTAGTGCAAATAAAAAAAGTATCACGGACAGTACTGAATTGTTACTTCCCACTATAAAAGGTAACGTGTCAAATATCCTATGTAATAGCTATACTGGTGGCAGGGATTTTTAATGGAGTTTACCATAGCGGCGTCCAGGTAATTCTACAATGAGAATTTTCTGTTCAACAAAATGTCACTAGTTCAGTAATATAGATCCAGTTGAGCAGAAACAAGATTATAGAAGCTAATTTCAGTTATTTATTACATAGGAGCTGTCAGCTTTTTCATGGGGCAAACACTTTAAATAAATTTACAGGTATTCATAGATAAAAGAATGTCCCATCTAATATGATTTATGGGATACGGAAATAGCCTTATCTCCATTTTTCTGCCTTAGGGTTCACTTTAAAAACGATACACATCAGTATTTTTATTGGAGCATTTTTAAACAGTTACCTCTATCTTATGAAAATTATCATTAAAAAAAACATTGTAGAACTAAATGATTACACTATGGCAAAGTACTCTTAAACCGTGTATGTTAGAGCTTGACTCCTCTACTAATTCTATAGGACATTAGTTGTTTCCAGGGAAATGAGAGTGCCAATGACCCATGGATATCCTTCATGGTCTGTTTCATTCCTGTGAAATCAACATAGTTATGTTTATCATGTGCCTGACATCAAATAGCACTACATCCATGAATTACACATTGCTGTCTGGTGCAATTTCCTAATACATAGAAGATTAATTGCACTGCCACATTCTCTACTAGTGAAATGCAGATAAAAGGCGCTGCACAATTTTTTTTTTTTGCCTAACTTAGGCATATTGAGCTAGTGCAGCAAACTTTGCAAATAGTAGTCTGAATGCTAATTATATGCACTTGCTTACCCTGCAAATCTCATTTTATTGCTGCAATATTTTTTCTTATTGATATGTAAAGCAAAATACAGCCAGTAAACAGTTATTTCCTGCATCAGAATTAAAGTATGTGTAACTAAATGACATTTAGTTGTTAAGGAATTTGTAAACTCAGCATTTCATATTCCTGATATGAGCTGTACCATGTACTTGTATGAAAAAGTATCCTGTTCTCTTTGTATTGCGTCCTTTGTGTGAAATCCCTGCCAGTCTGTCTGCTTTTCTATTAAAAAACTAACCACACTTAGCAGAGGAAGTGGTTAGCTCTCACCCCCTCGGTCTCTCGCCCGAATCACACACCTACTGAGCGACATATCAGACTGGATGTCGCTCCACTTCCTTAAACTGAACCTCTCCAAAACCGAGTTTCTTGTCTTCCCCCCCAGCCCGGACACCACCCCCCATTGACTTCTCCATCACATCAAACAACACCACCATCAAACCCGCCCCGCAGGCCAGAGTACTTGGTGTCATTCTGGACTCCAACCTATCCTTCCAGCCCCAAGTCCAATCTTTAACAAACTCGTACAGACTCCACCTCTGCAACATCGCCAAAATCCACACGTTCCTAACCCCAGAAACCACTAAACAGCTCATCCACTCCCTCATCATATCACGACTCGACTACTGCAACTCCCTCCTCACTGGCCTGCCTTGCCGCTGGCTATCCCCGCTTCAGTCGATCCTGAATACGGCTGCCAGACTCATTCACCTTTCCAACCGCTCGGTTTCCGCCACCCCCCTCTGCCAATCCCTCCACTGGCTTCCGATTGCGCAACGGATCAAACTCAAAATCCTAACGCTGACGTACAAAGCTGTCCACCATACTGCCCCGAACTACATCACTGACCTAATATCCAAGTACCGCCCAGCACGCACACTCCGCTCCTCACAAGACCTCCTTCTCTCTAGTTCCCTGGTCTCCTCCTCCCATGCCCGCCTCCACTACTTCTCCAGGGTGTCACCCATCCTCTGGAACTCCCTGCCCCAACCCATCAGATTATCACCTACTCTCCTCTCCTTTAGGCGCACCCTGAAAACCCATCTCTTCAGGGAAGCCTACCCCACCCCCTGCTAACTTGACCGACCTCCTCCACTCTTACTACCACTCCATCCCCCACAGCTATCTCCTCCTGTGCCACGATCCCCTCCCTCCTAGATTGTAAGCTCGAAAGAGCAGGGCCCTCAATCCCCTCATGTTTTGCATTGTATTGGTATTGTTCTGTCACATGTTCTGTCTCCCTTTGTAATGTACAACGCTGAGCGAACTATTGGCGCTTTATAAATACTGTATAATAATAGCTGTGCTGGGAAGTCAACCTGCTCCTGAAACGCCCCCCACTCCACGCACAGCCTGCCACTGGGAAGAGCAGTGTGCTGCAGTTTCTCCTCCCCCAGCTCTAATTCAGCTGAGAACAGAGAGAATGCGATCACTTATAAAAAAGTGAAAAAAATTTGTATTTATGATGGTGTTTATATCTATGCACAAATGTTTGGCTTTCATTTCTATTTTAACCTGAAGGGTTGTTTTATAAGGAGAGGGCTTACAATAATTTTGAACAATCATTTTTTTTTCTTCAAATAAAGTATTTTTTCACCATTATTATCCTTTCCCTTCCACAAGAACACCTTACAGCGATAGTTGAATGTCATTTCCTGATGGTGCCAACAGTGGACCATACCTTTGCAAAGTGCCCACTTATAGCCACTTGTAGACCCCTGTCACCCAAGTGTTCAGTCTGGATCCGTTTGTTTGTATTTCAGACAGATCCAGATGGAAGGGCAAGACATCTCAATGGGCAAATTAATGTAAATAGACATATATTCAATTACATCCACTTAATATCCGTGTCCGTTTAGGTCTGCAAAAAAAAAAACTAGAAAAGGTTTGCATTCTTTCTGTTTTGGCAGACATAAACGGATGTAAATAAATGCCATCCATCTACATCCATTCCATTTAAAAAAAAAAAAAAAAAAAAAAAAAAGAACACATTTTATTTTAATGCCCAAACAGATGTGAAAGACAGAAGTAAACTGATGACGAAAACAGATGTAAACAGAACTGAATATAATGGATCTGCAAACTGATGTAAACTGTTAACATATTCATCAATTTTTTTTTACTGAACTAAACCAACGACATTTGCATCACAAGGGCCATAGTCAACACTATGCTTGTGACAAGGCAGAACAAATAGGAGACAGAGACCAAGCATTTTTCCTATAACAGGTACTTTATCAAGGAATTTCATAGCAGGGTATGACAATCAAAACTGCAGAATGAAATCAAAATTACTTTTGATCAAAATTACTTTAACATCTAAAGTTTACATGAGGTTTTAGTGATTGGCTGTACATATACTTATAAGAACACTCAGCACTCTAAGTCTAATAACAATGTGCACATCAGTGCTTGGGATATATGAAAACGTTTAATTGTCCTCAAATAGAGTATTATTCCAGCTACTGGAATGCTCCTTTCCCCAAAAAGGTCTCAAAATAATAGCCCTTATTCCCAGTGCTAGAATATCCCCATGTGCATAGTTCCTTAATAGACAATCCTCTGCAAGTGATCTTCTCACCAATATCTTAAATGCTTATCAGATAGTGAGACCCCTCTTGTATAATGTATTAGTTTCTTCATTTTGCAAAATATTGTGACAAAAATTACAACTTCAAAAAAACTCACCATATCTCTTATTAAAGTGTTGCTAAAACCCACAACAGTAAAATCAGTCTAACCCCTGAGGGGTTATTTCTCTGCATTGTGTAAAAATACTGTTTGATCCTGACTTCTCTGATCCCCCTCTTATCTCCTGATAAGACATATCATGTGGAGACACTCTGCACATGCTCCGTTTGGTGTGTATTGCTAGAGAGGGTTTTTTTTTTCTTGGGAGAGTGCATGTGATCAGCACAGGGCCAATCAGCACTGTCCAGACAGAGGCCAGGGGTTCTGCATCCTCCCAGAGTAGAAAGAAAACTCCTACAAGCTTTAACGTGCTCTGCTGAACGCTGATAGAAGTCACAAGATTGCTCTAATTGCTGATGAGAAAAGGTATTTAGCAGTTTATATTTACTAAAATAATTGCATTTCCATGTTCTGTGTGCTGTGGGAGACCAGATAGAGTGAATGCAGGGTCCTGGGTTTAGTAACAATTTAAATACCTTGGACTGTCTACTTTCCAAAAATGTTCATTTGGGGGTATTTGTATTGTCCTGGCATTTTAGGGCCTCAAGAAATGAGACCACCATGGCCTGTATGCATGCTCACCACGCAAGACTGCGTTGCTGAAGAATAAGCATTTTGCAGCTCGTTTAAAGTTTTCTACACAACATTTAGACAAGCCTGTGAAATACTGGGAGAATATAGTCCGGTCAGATGAGACCAAAATTGAACGCTTTCGATGCCATAATACGCACCATGTTTGGAGGTCAAATTGCACTGCACATCACCCCAAAAACATCATACCAACAGTGAAGTTTGGAGGTGGGAACATCATGGTGTGGGGCTGTTTTTCAGCATACGGTACTGGCAAACCTCGTATCGTTGAAGGATGAATGTAAAAATGTACCAAGACATTCTTAATAAAAAATCTGCTGCCATCCCTCAGGATGATGAAGATGAAACGAGGGTGGACATTTCAGCAAGACAATGATCTAAAACATAAAGCCAAGGAAACTCTCAATTGGTTTCAAAGAAAGAAAATAAAGCTGCTAGAATGGCCAGCCAATCACCTGACTTGAATCCAACAGAAAATCTATGGAAAGAACTAAATATCAGAGTACATAGAGAAGGCTAAAGGAACCTTCAAGATTTGAATACTAAAAGTCTCCTTCTCCTTCTCACCAGTGAGGGTGTGGGTGAACCACAGTTCCGTGTCATATCCGGTGAGTGGAATGCACGCCATGCGGTGCGTTCCAAGCGGCCTTTTTGATAACTGTCTGAAGATTATCCTGTCATTCCCTGCTGATCAGGCTGTGTGGTTTCTACTATGGCGCTTGGAAACACTGGATTTTATGTGAGCCTATGGAGGCAATAAAAAAGGCTGTTTTTTTCATCTGACAAATGTGAGTGGTCTGGCTATGTTTTTTAGCAATATATATTAGTAGCAGGATTACACTATTTTATATTTCTTTCCTTTGCACTGCTGTGGAGTCTGGAGTGAGGACAAGGCAGGAGCCAGTAAAGATTTCTTCCCAAAATCCTATATGGTGGAAAGGAGTCCAGGAGGTTTAAAGGGGGTTTGGGATCCCTGTATATCCCAAAAGGTGTAATACTCACCTTTAGATTGTAAGCTCGAAAGAGCAGGGCCCTCGATCCCCTCATGTTTTGCATTGTATTGTTATTGTTCTGTCACATGTTCTGTCCCCCTTTGTAATGTACAGCGCTGAGCGAACTATTGGCGCTTTATAAATACTGTATAATAATAATAATAATATTGGTTTTCTCACTGGTAAATGGTGGAAGCAATTTCCCAGTTTGGACTATCTGATTTTTTCACATATGATTTTTTATTTATATATATATATTTTTTTATCACTTGGGAATAAGGACTTTCTATTATGTTTTTTTATATATAATTTTTCAAGCGTTTTTTGATTTGGACATTTTTTATTGATTTTATCACTTTCAAGTTTGTATTTGAAGTAAGGTGTTTATTTGCGCTGTTTCTTTGTATTTTCACAAAGATTTGAATACTGTTTGTGTGTGAAGAATGGGTCAAAATCACACTTGATCAATGCATGCGACTAGATTCTCCATACAGGAGGCGTCTTGAAGCTGCCATTACCAACAAAGGATTTAAATACATTTCAGTGAGAGTGTTCAATATTTTTTCCCTGTGTAATTCCAATTTATTACACATAACTTAATTTCTGAACTTATTTGATTTGGTTTCTTTGTATGTATGGATTGCATGGGTTGTTACCGGCATGTGGTGAAAATTTCATGTCAATAACACGTTTAGAAATATATTTACTGAGAAAAATGGTGGTGTGTGCAATACTTATCTTACTCTCTGTATATCCCATAGTTTGGAGACTTTATAACTTTCACACAGAATAAATAATATACACAGATTTGGGTTATTTTTAACAAAGAAATGTAGCATAATACATTTATGAAGAAAGATTAGTTGTTTGCAAGATTTGTTTTTTTTTTGTATTTTTTGGTTTATAAAGCAAAAAATAAACAACCCAGCGGTGATTAAATACCAAAAAAAGAAAGCTCTATTTGTGTGATGTAAATTTCATTTGGGTACTGTGTCGCATGACTGAGCAATGCCTGTTAAAGAATAAGTTTACCTTTTAAACAAAAAATAATAAATGCACATTTTTTTTGCAGGTAAAAAATGTGAATTTATTATTTTTTGTTTCTGGAGGCTCAAAAGCATTGCACCAGCGATGTGCTGATCGGTGCTGCAATGCTTTAGAGCCATGCAGGTCTCCCTCTGACCTGTCGCTGTATCTGCTTTCCCGTACATCTCGTACAGGCAAGCAGATGCTTACCGTTAGGAAGGCTCAATGAACTACCACAACGTTCCACAGCCCACCTATAGCACCTGTGATTGGTGACTTGTGTCTGTCATAAAGGTGGCTAATAACCCATATCTGCACAGACAGTGAAGGTGAATAGATCCATCTCACACTGACTTTAATGTTCCCCTTGGCACAGCAGGGAAATTACGGTTGGCTGCACTCCTCCTTTGAGAAGTCAGTTTGCAGTAATGTCGGGGCCGTTGTGTAAAAACATGGGGAGCTTTCCACTAAGGAAACCAGCACCACTGCTCTAGTCCCAGTCATGCTTGGATAGCCAGTGGCTGCTTGCTGCTCCTCCTCTATCTGATGACATATAAATACCTGCCTCTGGTTCTCTTGGGTTTTAAAGACTTCTTCAAGGAAAGGTCTCCAGTGTACTATACGGTAGCAAACGTCTCAATTTTTAACACTTGTTTAATTGCTATAGTTCTTGTAACTAAGGTGCAAACAAATTGCAATCAGGTGTGACACAATTGTAGGAAGTAGGTAGTCACACAACCCTGTTCGCTGCCACTGCACCTACACTTCCTTATTGATCCCTTACAAGTGGGCACACTTTTCCTTGCTTTTTAATTTAGAGAACGCAACAGGAGCTCAAAGGTTGGCAAGAACATGATCAAAAGTGATGGCAGGGCATATAAAATTCAGGGTCTGGCTTTGCCCACTAAGCATTATCTTTGACTAACTATTACCTTTGAGTAGACAGATCCTTAAATATGCTTCAGGGTGTGGTTTTGGCCTTCTGCAACAGAAAAAAATGAATTTCATGTCAAGTTAAGAAGTACTGTGTACACCTACCAAATTACTGTGTCAGTTTCTTGGTGACTTACAGGTGAAACTCGAAAAATTAGAATATCGTGCAAAAGTTCATTTATTTCAGTAATGCAACTTAAAAGGTGAAACTAATATATGAGATAGACTCATTACATGCAAAGCAAGATAGTTCAAGCCGTGATTTGTCATAACTGTGACGATTATGGCTTACAGCTCATGAAAACCCCAAATCCACAATCTCAGAAAATTAGAATATTGTGAAAAGGTGCAATATTCTAGGCTCAAAGTGTCCCACTCTAATCAGCTAATTAAGCCATAACACCTGCAAAGTGTTCCTAAGCCTTTAAATGGTCTCTCAGTCTGGTTGAGTAGAAATCACAATCATGGGAAAGACTGCTGACCTGACAGTTGTGCAGAAAACCATCATTGACACCCTCCATAAGGAGGGAGAGCCTCAAAAGGTAATTGCAAAAGAAGTTGCTGTATCAAAGCACATTAATAGAAAGTTATGTGTAAAAGTGTAAAAGAAAAAGGTGCACAAGCAGCAGGGATGACCACAGCCTGGAGAGGATTGTCAGGAAAAGGCCATTCAAAAGTGTTGGGGACTTTCACAAGGAGTGGACTGAGGCTGGAGTCAGTGCATCAAGAGCCACCACACACAGACGGATCCTGGACATGGGCTTTAAATGTCGTATTCCTCTTGTCAAGCCGCTTCTGAACAACAAACAACATCAGAAGCGTCTTACTTGGGCTAAAGAAAAACAGACCTGGTCTGTTGCTCAGTGGTCCAAAGTCCTGTTTTCTGATGAGAGCAACTTTTGCATCTCATTTGGAAACCAAACCAAGCATCCTGGTCTTCCATAACACGTCAGCAGTGCCACAGGCTGATAGCTTCCATGCCACGCTGCATTGAGGCAGTAATTGCTGCAACAGTGGCCCAAACCAAGTACTGAGTACATATGCATGCTTATACTTTTAGAGATCCGATATTGTTCTATGTACAATCCTTGTTTTATTGATTGCATGTAATATTATAATTTTCTGAGATTGTGGATTTGGGGTTTTCATGATCTGTAAGCCATAATCATCACAGTTATGACAAATCACGGCTCGAACTATCTTGCTTTGCATGTAATGAGTCTATCTCATATATTAGTTTCACCTTTTAAGTTGCATTACTGAAATAAGTGAACTTTTGCACGATATTCTAATTTTTCAAGTTTCACCTGTACATGTCCTGACAGGAGATCTCTCTTAAAATGGCATGTAGTAAAGCCCTTAACCTCCCTAGCGGTCTGATTATGTCAGTATTTCTGTGCTCAAAGTGGTACATTTTATTTTGCATGGAAATGTTTAGGAATACCTCTCACTGAAATCTGTCCGAACAAGAGTCTAGTAAACATCCCGGGTCTAAAAAAGCTTTTGACCTAAAGGGACGCTTTTTGGACACCATGGACATTTCTCAGTTTCCAGGCAGGAAGAGCAGTAAAAATGCAGGCAGGGCACAGGACAAATCACTCGGGACAAAATGTATGTGAAATGCTTTGATACAGTAATGTTTTACTAAGTGATTTTAGTGTATTTAGTGAATG